AGCAGGTCGAGGCTGCAGTGACCGGGAGCGGCCACTGCACTCCAGTCTGGACGACTGAGTGAGACTCCAACTCAAAAAGAAAAAAAAAAGAACTTGAAGGACGGCAGGATTTGGAAGAATGGTGTTCCTGGTGAAACTCAAGGTCACTCCTAATGAGTTCTAAATCAAGTATGACTTTCCAACTTCATTCAACTAGATCCAGCCCCTTGCTGGGTGCTATTGAGAACATAAGAGCACCAGTTGCTTGTGGCCCAACTAAGGAAAGAACTGTTATGATGCCATGTCATTCTTATTTTCAGACACAGAGGAAACATGTTATTCGTTTACCAGACTGAGCTTTCCCAGTGCAGTGGTTGGTACGGAACTAAATGTGAAGCTGATACTCTACACAAGGAGAAACCTGACCTGCGCACAGGCCATCAACTCCACAGCTTTTGGGAACTTGAATGTGACCAAGAAAACTACCTTTATTATCCATGGATTCAGGCCTACCGGCTCCCCTCCAATCTGGATGGAGGACTTAGTAGGGGGTTTGCTCTCTGTCGAAGACATGAACGTGGTGGTTGTTGATTGGATTCGAGGAGCTACAACTGTATTATACAACCACGCCGCTAGTAAGGCCAAAAAAGTAGCCACAGTCTTGAAGGAATTTATTGACCAGATGCTGGTAAGAGAGAACTCTCTTAGATGATTGAGGGAAAAATTAAAACTGACCCATTATCTGGAGGTTTAGGGCCATAAGATGTCTTCAGTGAACAGGGGGACTATTCTGCAACATTTTGCAAATCCGAATAAGCCCCAGGGTGGGAAGGACTGCAATGTAAGACCCATAGGTATGGTTGTGCAGGCTGTGCACAGGGCACCATCTAAGGGGGCACTCTTGTCATTGTAGACATTATAGATTTATATATTTATTATGATAATTTTTGGCAGATGACAACAAAGTATCTTGAAGAAGGGGCAACGTTTTCTAACTCATATAAATGTATCTTATGGGTAGGAGAGTTTCTGTCTAGGGCTTTCCTGGTTTAAATGCCTAGAGCTTCCTCAACTTCTTTTTTTTCTTGCTTTCTCTCTCTCTCTTTTCTTTCTTTCTTTCTTTTTTCCTTTTTGAGTAAGAGTCTTCCAGGCTGGAGTGCAGTGGCACACTCATGGCTATCACAGCCTCAACCTGTTGGACTCAGGCAATCCTTCCACCTCAGCCTTCCAAGTAGCTGGAACTACAGGCGAGCACCACCCTGCTGTCTAATGTTTTGATTTCTTGTGGAGAAGAGGCCTGCCAAGTTGCCCAGGCTGGTCTGGAACCCCCTGGAACCCCTTCCCTCAGGCAATTTTTCTCACCTCTGCCTCCCAAAGTGCTGGGATTACAGGCTTGAGCCACAATGCCCAGCTCTGAATTTCTATAGCTGTACCTTTTGCTAGAAGTATCAAAAAGTTTAGTGACTTTTGGTTTAGATTACCCAAAACCAGAATTGTGACACATGGTCTGATGAGATAATTTATGCTTTTAGAAGACATGTAAAGCTTTTTTTTTTTTTTGAGTTGGTGTCTCACTGTGTTGCCCAGGCTGGAGTGCAATGGCACCATCATGACTCACCACTGCCTTGACCTTCTGGGCTCAGGTAACCCTTCCGCTTCAGCTTCCCAAGTAGCTGGGACTACAAGCATGCACCACCATGCCCTGCTAATTTTTTAATTTTTTGTAGAGATGATATCTCACTGTGTTGCCCAGACTAGTCTCAACTTCCTGGGCTCAACTAATCCTTTCACCTTGATCTCCCAAAGTGCTAGGATTACTGACTTGAGCTACTACACTGGGCCACAAGACTTCCAAATCTTTATTTTTTTATTTTATTTTTTATTTTTTGAGTTGGAGTCACACTCTGTCGCCCAGACTGGAGTGCAGTGGCCTCTCCCGGCCACCACAGCCTCGACCTGCTGGGCTCCGGCGATCCTTCCGCCTCAGCTTTCCAAGTAGCCGGAATCACAGGCATGCGCTACCACGCCCGGCTGATTTTTTGATTTATTGTAGAGATGAGGTCTCGCGGCCCAGGCGGGTCTCGAACCCACGGGGAATC